TAGTAGAAGTGTTTCTCTCACTTTCACAAAGAATTAGACTACCGAAATTATTATTATTATTAATGGCTTTATTCAATATTATAATCTGGTACAGTATAGAATTCTCAGCACGAGTTATTTCAACAAGTTTTTTTTACCAAAAAAACCCAAAACAAACAAAAAACAGAATAGAAATAATAAAAAGGTTTAAGAAAATCTGAATTTATACAAATTATCAAATTTGAAACATGCTTAAGAAGACAGGTTATTTACTAGGTCAACTCTAACAGCCTGTTCGTCACAAAGTAAATTTGCAAGGTAAGGTATTACAGAACTTTTAAAGATTTCCTTGCGTGCATGAATTTTAATGTATTTACGTCTCGTTCTACCACAAGATATAAAAGGAGAAAGATATGAATGAAGCGGATGGTTAGTATCTGATAAGATAACACCTGCCAAGAGTTTGCAAGACTTAAGATGTCTATCCACAAGCATATTAACAATGACTTCAAAAAATTCACCACATACCTTGCAAACTGCCTTTAGCATTCTGCGCAAAATAACAAAGTCTTTTCTCAAAAGCCCGGGAAAGAATAATGGAGAACAATATAAAATAATAGGTAATATGCAGGAATTTACAAATTGTAAGAGTAAATGGCGAATAATCCCAAAAGCATGCAGCCTCTTTATGTAGTATGCCAAACGGTAAACTTTTTTCGATAACAGTAAAACATGAGAAGACCAAGAAAGATCAGAGGAAAAAGTAACACCAAGATATTTGACCTTCGACACTGTTTATTAAGGAGTCTCCAATGGCACAAGCATCATGGGATCCCAACATATAGTATAGGTTCTGTCCATGTCTCAAGCTAAAGTTAACGGCTTGACATTTAGATGGATTCAGTAAGAGACCATTACCAACAGATCACCTTTCAATACGAGATAAAAACTCATTTATTTCTATAGGATGTAAGGAGGTAGAAATCGGCATACATACAGTGAGGCTGTCCGCATATTTTTACTTAATTACTTAATTGGCGGTGGGTTGTAAGTGACAATATGGATGTGAATTTTTTACGTTTATAAATAAACTTTCAGATATTTCACGTAAAAATCCCAGCTGTATACAGTTTTTGTCAAAGCTGTTGTCGGAAAAGCCTTTTTAATCGGGGATCCCAAACAAGAAATCAGGAATGAAGGGGGTTCGTAGACATATTTAGGAAATGGTCAATGCATCGAAAAGTACATTGTTTAAGCTGACTAGTTGTTGCGAGAGATGAGTAATACGTCGTAACCAAACGTGATATAGTGTGGGTGCCTGACCGAGTACCTTCAGGTAGAGGTGTGTTCAGTGAAGTTAGGTCAGCATCAATTTTGAAGACCTACGGAACTATTCATCTTAGAGATTTATTTACAGTGAAATACGATTCAAAATATTAATCTAACATTCACAAGTCAATTTATGGTAAAGTCACTACTGATGACTAATCCTTTCGACCTTACACTAATACCAGTATATATACCTGTATCCACTCGCCCTACTTTACATACTTATGATGAAAGATGATACTGTATGTACTGCAGCCAAATACTTAAAAGGTACTAAATTTCAAATACCAACATCAGTCGTTCTATCCTAATAGATTTTATCAAGCCTAGGCCAGGTCATGTACTTTAGATATGTTACAAAGCTTATGTGTTCATTTGGAACATATTAACTATGACTCTGCAGAATGCTAACTTTTAATCAACGCTACAGCATTATGGTCACTCCATAATGGACCATAGGAACCTCTTAAAGAAGCTTAGGTTGAACATTATTCCACTGTTTTAAGCACACAGACAGGACGCTTCAATGAAGCTAATCAGCTAAAAGGCGAAGAGAGTGTCCACATAAAATTCTGACAGCTATCCTTACATATGTGCTGCTTGTATTCACTCCTCTTTAGCCAGACACATATTGTTTTCTATGCCTTGCTTCATTCATGCGCAAATATAGTCATTTCTACCGGAAAAGTTCTTAGTCAGAGATCTGGACGCAACCAATCGAGAGTGTGATAATGATTTCGATAAATGTTCCGGAAACCAGTATGTACCAGTATTCTGTATAATTTCAAAGAGCTATAGGCAGTGGCTGATTAATTTTGAACAGATTTCAACGCACATACAAGTGAGGCAGATATTTTGCTAACAGTTTATACCACGGATTGATATTAGCCTGAGAACCACTGAAAACTATACTCCAACATATCTCTCGCTTTCTGTTATAACTTAATTCGACTAAATAGAGCTAAAAGTAACTTTTCAGAAAGCAATTTTTCTGACGAAAAATGGAGAATGCTATACAGCGACAATTCTGAATCCCTGCCATATAACACTTTAGACCGTCAGTTTAAATACTGATGCACTTACAGTTTGTCCTTGAGGCAGTAACCTTGAAGAGCCCATGTACCACGTAAGTTGTCCTGCTTAGACGTCCGTGCGGACTTCTTTTATTCACAGTTGCTTGGCTTCATATTAACAATGCAATGTCTATAAAAACTTTCCAATGGGTTCATAGGCAAATATTAGCTATCTTTATCGCTTCTCATAGATTGGTGACAACTTGACATTTGGGTAAACCCAGTCTAACTAAATTGTTCATGTTATAGGATTTATAAATTTTGAAGCCAGCTTCTATATTACTTCAGATCTTATTGTCCCACGAGCATAAAGCAAACATCGTAAATATAATGAGCCATCGCCCAATCTTCAGACCAAGAAGACATTTTATTTATTTAAACATAAACACTGACACAGAAAGGCATCAAATATATATGCGCCACACAAATTATTTGTTTCGCGTAAGGACTAATATACTACCTGGGTGCCCAAGCCAAAGCGAATGGCTTTTTTAGGGGGCCACATCCGGAGCCTCCGACCTGAAAGTTTAATCCACAAGGCAGTGAAGCAACGTCCGTAGATTCACTTCAGTGGTAGCCGGTCACCAATAATTGGTTCGTACGCCATTTGTTCCCTCAGAGTCCTGTAGCCCATTTGCATCATCGGTTTGGGATCAGGGTTTTGCAAATCCCCTAGATTGATCCTGCATATCCACCAACCCGGTTAAAGCACTGGACATTCACGTTTCGTCCTCTTAATTTCGTAAATAACAGTAATGCCTCGAGAATGCAGTGAGTAAGACTTCCCTGACAGTGGCCGTATATGCGTGGCCATATGATAGCATTTGGAGAGGGAAAGTTGACTCTGTCCACCCTAGTCCGTACCAGGGCATTTTACTTGGGGTGATTACTACAGTCTGTATAGCAAAACAGAGAACGTTTTCTACATTTAATGAAATTGTTTGGAGTCGTGTTCTCGGTTGTTTTTCCGAATTTTACGTCCTGTGGACGTATATTTGAACAAAAATAAGCGAAATCGTTTATATCAGTCACTTCCGCCAGGGTCAAATTGACCTTTTTAAACAGAATTGAACTTGTGCCTCCACAGACAAGTGTAGTTTTCCTAAATGGCTGTTAAACATGTTTATCCACCTTAGGTTTTCTAATTTCTGTCCTGGTTCACTAAAATCTCATTCGTGATTCTGATGTCTATATGAATTACTTGCGAATACATAGCAAAATCCATATCGCACATCATATTACTAGACAAAGACACCAAAACCATATTAAGTTGGGTTACGATGCTGGACAGTATTTTAACCTTTTGATTGTCATAAAGGCTTATGTGTGTTTTGGAAGGGGTGGACTACCAGGTTGGCTTCTAACTTATTATGTTGAACCCATGGGACCAGTGAGCACAGCTAACTCAAGAGGCAGTTACTATTAAAAAGTATACACTGGATTACACGAATAAAATTCCTTCACGTAGTTTAGGAAAAATAAGCTGGTTACAATATGACTGTAAAGTATAATATTACATTTCCTTGTCTCGAGATAGTTACTTGTCTTTTAATCCGAGTTAAAAGACAAGCGATTGGAAGATACGAAGTTGAAGACCTATCACGTTTCGATTAGTATATCTGCTTATGCTTAGAGTTATTCAACTGCTACCAAGTCATCTATAAAATGTCCTAAAACCAACCATTTATGATCAGAATTGTGACGGTTACGGGTGCATGCAACTCAACCGCTTAAGACTCATTGTAATACCCAATAAAACTTACACATTTTGAATCTTCTTCGTAGCTGATAGTCCACTCTTTTGTTAGCTAAGTTATATTTCAGGGGTTCATACTTGTTAATTCCAACCATTGTGGTGGGTTTTAGATATGTTCCACTCTTTGACGTCTAGGTTCCGCGTTGGTATCAATAACTTACACATTACAAATTTCATTCGAAAACGCCGACAGACCCGGACGTGACTTCTTTGTATTCATAGTTAATTGTTTGTTGGATAGTATTGTTAACTGGCTTTGGTAACTTCTATCTAATATGTTATACCACATTATTTTAATGTTACCCTAATATATTCTTAAAGATTTTAGATGATAGCGTATAATCGCTCGTAGTGACCCAGATATATTCATTCTCTACGTTTTTCTAGTTATTGAGTTTTAGCATCATTTTGTGTTCTGTTAGGTCAACATTTTTGTGGAGATTGGCCAATTTAAAGTTTGTTTTCACCCCGAACTAACGTTTTCTTTGGAGCACGGGAAATTAACCTCTTAGTTTATAATTGTGTTTTATTTTTTGCAACTTTCGATAATATTATTTCGACTTCAGTTTTCATCTAGTCGATTCCTTCAGTGTAATGATATAAACCACATTTCTGTTACCTGATCTACATATGTAGCAGGTCCTAAGCTGTCTGATATCATCACCCTGAGTAAACTTTCCAGTCATAACGTATCAACTCTAAGACAGTTCGTAACCGTTTAGTTTGGGTTCCCATAAAATTTGTTTGCTAATGGTTGCTTTTTTTCATTCCTCTTCAGTAACTAGGCTAATCACTAAATTTGTACTGATATCAACAAATTGGTGCCCTCATCGAGAAACTTTCGACTCCGCTTAACGTCTAACATGTGGTTTAGAGATGTATACGATATCGCATTAGGTTTGGGGAACTTCGTCCCACAATATTTGTGCATATTCTTATCAACATTGCTTGTTTTGACACCTTTCTCTCCTATTGATGCTGTTCAGGAATTCACCGTTTATCGCGCCCAACAGTACGATTTCCAAGGTGTTCGTATTGGTATGTTTCTTTTTCACACGTAAAATAATATAGCTTTCTAGGCAGTCGATTGTCGTCCGTAAATTGTGAAGCCCAAACACTAAGCAATAAAATAGTTGGTCGGAACTGTCTTCTTTTACGGTTAGCAGAAGTGACAGTTGATATTATAAAGGATGCCATTTACCACAAAGTGTCTGGAATTATAATTATTCTACCATCCCATCCGTGGTCACAAGCATTAATAAATGTAACATTACTTATTCAACATTTTCTCAGCATTTTATCCATGTAGAAAAGGAGCTATTAACTGATGAATTTCAAATCCCTATCTACTTTACTCTTAACAGTTCATCAGTACAAGAAGTATTTGAACAGGTTAGTCAACTCACTAGGTCCAGTACACAGAACTCAGGGTTATCTGGTAAGCTCTATTAATATTGCTTTATTTTCAGCCTTAACTCGAGCAATATCATCAACTGGGTACCGATTGTTGACTGGATCACTAGTACCAAAGCCTATAGCTGATAATTATGTGTTAAACATAGAGGTAACAACATTTTTGTTATACTCAATCCTTAGGGTCGTCTTGGGAAAGAGAGTGCTAAATCCACTATTATTATTTGTGCACATTATGATGCGATTTCAGCAATTCCTGTAGGTTTGCTATTCCTGTAAATTGTTCCTTAATTATTAAATGTTGAATTAGTGTGACGGTGTCCTAACTTTGAATATTCACTATTGTTTTCTCTTAGCTGTCCTACCATACACTAGGAACGCTGCAAAAAAACCTATGGTGCACTTTGCTGACGATTCCTTAAAGCAGATTTTTTCCAGTATGCTCACTCTTTGCTAAGTTATAGTGTTGGTGTTGCTTGGCAAATACCAAACATATATATACAAGAGTTACTTGAAATAGAGGAAGTACCATCCATAATTAATCATGATTCAGAAGTCCTAGTACACACTAGTCACTTCGTTTCTTCCATGTCCCATACAGCTAAAAGAGACTAACTTTTATTTGTATTTTACCATACAACGTGGAACGTATATACTTGTATTCATCATACAGATTATCTGGTAGGATTTGAATCTTTCAGCTTAGCTTTTAAAATAGCAATCCAATTATAATAAAAAATTGTTGGTACCCACCTGGATACGATGTAATTTTTTTGAACCTTATCATCTCTGTTAAAGATTACATCGTATTTAAATTGTAATCTGCTGATTATTTATTTATTTAAACACATTAATATTGGTACAAAGGGGCACCAGATATATATGCGCCGCACAAATCTCATTTGATTTGTGTGAGGGCTGTGATATTGCCCAGGTGCCCAAACTAAAGCAGGTGGTTTTCTTTGGGAGCCACGCATGAATCCTTTGGCCTAAAGATCTGATCCACAAGGCAGTGGAGCATCGTGAGGAGATGCTGTCCCATGATAGCCGGTGACCAACGATTGATTCATACGTCATTTGTTCCCTCAGGATACTGGAGCCCATGTGCACCATTGGTTTGGAATCAGGGTTTTCCGTGTCCACCAACCCGGTTAAAGCGCGCGGACTCTCCCCACTCTTGGCCGTACCAGAGCATATAGGGGCTGATTAATTCTGGTAAAATCTTCAACAGGTTATAAAATTACTTTATATCACAGAAATCATCTAACTTGTTTATATTACCGTAATTCCAATCGTAAGATCATGTCTCCAGTATCTTGATATTATACGTTACAGAGTTTGGCTTATGGAGCCGATGCAAATGGTAGTGGTGTGGTTATCTTACTGGAACTTGCCCGTTTAATATCACGTCTCTACGCGAACGAAGCTAATAAGTTGCCGTAAGTATTTTTTTTAGAAATCACAATCTGATTTGATGTTAAAATGATTTATTTTTTATATTAGATTATTTATTTATTTCATTGGATTATACTCCTTGGATAACATCTTCAAACCCTAATCTTTCGAATTACTACTTATACTCTTACTACTTCTACCACTATGGGATTTGAATGGACAACTGCATCTCTGTGCTAATGTGGTATGGCAACTCGAACTGATGTACGTACGTACGAAGTTCTACGTTGTAACTGACTGACTGATTACATAATTGATTCTGAGAGTTCTCTATAGTGACATAAAGGTATATTACGAAAGAAAGATTATTTTTCTCTATGATTTATATAATCTGAATATTATGAAAACATTATGTAAATAGCCTCGTTATTAGATGGTTTGAAAACAAAATTCGCTATCGAGACATTCTGCATATGTTATGTGAAATCATCTACACATCACTCAATTCCTGATACTCTCTCACTTGTACAAACAGGCAATAATAGTGATTATCAGAAGGGGTTTTTTGTGGAGATTTAATATTTTTATAGTTGAAAGCTTCAGTTAATTGAAACTAGACCACCAGGGAAAATCTGGAAGCATTGCTTGACTGCCGTTTCGTCCTATTGTGGGACTCCTCAGCAGTGCGCATCCACGACCTCGCGAGATTCGAACCCAGGACCTACCAGTCTTGCGCCAGAGCACTTAACCGATAGACCACCGAGCCGGTATCCCATAGTGTTTATGTCTAACTTCAACCAATCCGCGAAGTTGAGCAGCCGTTCACCAATTGTCTTCAGTGAGTTCCTACCTCACAACGGACGTAGTTTGAACTCCACTGGTCACTGCTTCTCACTAGAACTTCTGAATTTACCTCTCGAAGTTAGTCACTAGTGAGCATATGATTATTATTATCAGAAGGGGTTTTTTGTGGATGCGTGGATGCGCACTGCCGAGGAGTCCCACAATAGGACGAAACGGCCGTCCAATGCTTCCAGGTTTTCCATGGTGGTCTAACTTCAATTGACTCACGATTTCAACTATGAAAAATTCATTATTACATATTAAATATCTACTAGTAAATTGCCAAAGCACTATGGAAATCAAATTTTAATAAAAACATCTTAGTCAATATATCAGTATAACGAGTTCATGTATTAAATCATTACATATTTTAACACTATTCAGTACACTAATATGTCTTGAAACGCTGATCAATATCACCATGCTAAAGTCACCAATCAGAATACTAATACTTTTTCTTTTCTGCTTCTACTATCTCTTCTCTAGTCTAGTGTCCCTAGCCTTTGCTGTTTGTCTTGAGTCGACGCAAACTAGGCTCCCATTGGTGCTCTATCCATCGGCTTTTCTCTTTACTTCTTGTCCTAAATCCAAAAAGAAATCGGCAACCAACTTCTATTATGCTGTAGTTTAAGCACATATAGGTCAATATACAAATATCACGCCATAAAATAAAAGCACAATCATACATAAACAAGTCAAAAGTAACTATGATTAAAGGAAGGTGTAAATAACGGGTTAGCAAAAAATAACAAAAGTACAATTAATAAGCAACTTAATAACATTTGATAAGCTAAAAAAGGCTCATAATAAACGTGGTAATCCAATTACATAGTAAATATACAATGAGAATATACAATAATAATAATCTACAAAGTCATTCCGATAGCTACTATTTCTTCAGTTTTCGATCTGATACGTCAAGGGCACCAATAAAATCATTTCAATCCAAGTTTTACTATTACTTACGCCTGTTACCCTTCGTGGAGGAGCACATGCCGTATACCAGTATTCTCCATCCAACCCTGTCCTGGGTAATCCTTTCCAGTTGTTATTCATCTTTTTCATATCTGCTTCCATTTCCCGACGTAACGTGTTCTTTGGTCTTCCTCTTTTCCTCTTCCCTTCATGATTCCAAGTTAGCAAATGCCTCGTGATGAAGTTTGGTGATTTCCTTTATGTATGTCCTATCCACTTCCAACGTCTTTTCCTAATTTCCTCTTCAGTTGGAAGCTGCTTTGTCCTTTCCTATAAAACGTTGTTGCTGATAGTATCCGGCCAGTGAATATTGAGTGTTTTGTTTATAAATACTTGTACCTTTTTGACGACGGATGTAGTAGTTCTCCACATTTTGGCTCCGTAAAGTAGGACTGTCTTGATGTTCGTATTGAAGATTCTCACTTTGAATTTTATTGACAGTTGTTTGGAGTTCCATATGTTCTTCAATTGTAGAAATGCTGCCTTTGCTTTGCCAACCCTCGCCTTTACATCTGCATCATATCCTCCTTGTTCATCAATGATGCTTCTCAAATAGGTGAATATTTCTACATCTTTCAGAGTTTCGCCATCAAGTGTAACTGGGTTGGTGTTCTCCGTGTTGTATTTAAGAATCTTGCTTTCTCCTTTGTATATGTTGAGGCCTATTGATGTAGAGGACAGAGTTTAAATGGTTTGAATTATTTTTTCTGGTTAGCGTTTTTTTAGCGAGTTTGTTTTCTATGGGATGGGGTTGCTTTATGTAAAATCTGTATTTAGTCAGTCATACCTCGTTAGCACAACAACATGAACACCGGATTTATAGAAGTAATTAATTTAATGGTGGTAGTATATAAAAAATAGGTTGTATATAAGGATATAGTATAGGAAGGAAGACAGATATGAAGCAATTTTAATCTCAAGGTTTAAGGGAAGATAAAGAGTATGTACACTTACGTCATTGTGATCGATTCTGAGCCATGTCACCCAAAGTCTCTAGCCATTGGTTATGATAGTTGCGCGGACCCCAACCAAGTAGTCTGCATCTACCAACATGGCACAGATTACGAGTTAGTGACTTCAAGCACTGATGCTACGTTTTGGTTTGGCCGCCCCTAACTTCCTTCCAACCATCCCCTACACTAGTCATCATAGCGCGTCGTGGTAATCGGTGTTCGAGCATACGTAACACGTGGCCCAACCATCTCAGTCGATGAAGATTCATGACCTCATCAACTGATTCACCATCATTCCCTAATACCCTGTGTTTAACATTGCTATCACTTACCTGATGATCCCAGCAGATGCGAGCAATATTTCTAAGACATCTGTAGTCAATTACTAGTAACTTGCGAGTATCTTCTACTCTTAATGGCCATGTTTCACAGCCGTGAAGTAGAATGAGATCTGTTTAACATTTTCATTTTTTCTTTTACTATTTTGATAAGAAGAATTTCAAATGTTCTTTGCACAATACTAAGGTATTTCTTTCATAAATTTTATACAGTGGAAGGTAAAACTCAGGTGTTTCCGGTTTTTAGGCCGAAGCTCGAAAGCATTTTCTTTTCGACTGTTTTTATTTATTTAAACACATAAATATTGGTACAAGGTAGCACCACATACATATGCGCCGCACAAATCTCATTTGATTTGTGTGAGGGCTGTGATACTGCTCGGGTGCCCGGACCGAAGCAGGTGGTTTTCTTAAGGAGCCACACATGGATACTTTGACCTAAAGATCTGATCCACAAGGCAGTGGAGCATTGTGAGGAAATGCTGTCCCATGATAGCCGGTGACCAACGATTGATTCATACGTCATTTGTTCCCTCAGGATACTGGAGCCTATGTGCACCATTGGTTTAGAATAGGGGGTTTCCAACTCCCCTAGGTGAAGTTTCCGTGTTCACCAACTCGGTTAAAGCGCCGGACATTCGCTTTTCGTCATCTCAATTTCGTAAACAACACCGCCACGAGAAGGAAGTGAGTAGGACTTGTGTGGCAGAAGCTATATATGCGTGGCCATATGAGAGCATTTCGAGAGAGAGAGCTGACCTTCCCGCACTCTCGCCGTACCACTGCATTTGGAGGCACTGTGTTTTTAGTTCATAAAAAGACGTCACATTCAGTGAACTCGTTTATTATGTTTTAAATAAAAATTATTTAATATGATTTACCATAAGTTTATTATATTTCAAATTTTCTTATTCAGATATCAAATTGTTTTCCTTCTAACTGGTGGTGGAAAGTTCAATTTCGTTGGTTCTAAACGATGGCTTGATCAAAATATTAAAGATTCTGTTGGTTTAGGTATGTTGTTTAGCATTAGTACAAAACAATGTTAATCCCATACCCGTCTATTTTTTGCGATGCTACTACTACTACTACTACACTTTTAAGAAAGTCTTACGGAAGATTTAGTCTTAGTAAATTCTTTGCCATGTACATACCCATGTGCTTGACTTTGATTCGTATTCTAAATGTGAGGATCCGCTATGTAAGACTTGTCTTTTAGAACCGAATTAAGTAGGGCAAGGCCCAAATATATAATCCAATGGTTGAATGTTGAAATCCTTAACCACTAAGCGATTGCTACACCCCTGGAAGTTCATAAGATTAATATTAGTAGCTAATATCTACGATTTAAAAAGTCAGATTGAGATTATATAATCTAGTTAAAAGCAAAATCATACCCGTAGAACAACATTACTGAAGAGAATTGGTGAACGATTGCTCAAACATCGTGAATTAGTTGAAGTTAGACGTTAACACCGTTGGATGCCGGCTCAGTGGTCTATCGGTTAAGTGCTCTGGCACGAGACTGGTGGGTCCTGGGTTCGAATCTCGCGAGGCGAGTTTGTGGATGCGCACTGCTGAGGAGTCCCATAATAGGACGAAACGGCCGTCATGCAGTGCTTCCAGGTTTTCCACGGTGGTCTAGCTTCAATTGACTCATGATTTCAACTATGAAAATCATACTTGTTGACGATAAATGAGTTTCTTCTTGTAGGTGACCAGTATTTTCTCTCAAGAAAGCTATGTTCTCAATACTGTAGCAAGTTCGATATTATTTTTATCTGTCTGTACTATGTTATACAGATAAAGCATCCCATATATTTCGAACTATAATAGATTAGGGATTTTTGATAAGTTTCAATATGACTATCATTGTAAGTAGATACTGGTTATACCACTATTGGAAAAAGCAGTGTTATATTTAGGAGAGTTATTGGCACTGAAATCTAATACCTATGTTTCGTCCTATTTGGAACTCCTTCATGCATAGTGTTGATGCTTTATATTGAGACTCAAACCCCCAGTACCTATCACTCCAAATACTAATTAGTTATCCATTAAACTACTGAGTCATAATACCCTACCACTTTGTCCAACATGTATGATTTACATTAGTATTTTCAGAAGCCTGATATTTTTGCGATGTTGATAAAGTAGGCAACCTCAAATCCACTGCTGGCTTCTAGTCAAAATATAATGAAACTGCGGTTATGTACGCAATATCGTGCATAAGATTCACTCAATGAGCCTATATACTAACCAAGACTGATCAAATAAATACACTTGTGAAAAATACCCTAAACCTACTTTATTATTTATTTAAACACATGAATATTGCTACAAAGAGGCACCTGATATATATGCGCCTCACAAATCTCATTTGATTTGTGTGAGGGCTGTGATACTGCTCGGGTGCCCAGACCGAAGCAGGTGGTTTTCTTAGGGGGCCACACCTGGAACCTTTGACCTAAAGGTGTAATTCAAAAGGTAGTGGGGCATCGTGAGGAGATTCAGTCCCATGATAGCTAGTGACCAACGATCGATTCATACGCCATTTGTTTCTACAGGATACTGGGGCATTTGTCTGGGCCCCCAAATGCCCTGGTACGGCCGACAGTGGGGAGAGTCCGCTCTCTCTCTCGAAATGCTCTCATATGGCCACGCATATATAGCTTCTGCCACACAAGTCCTACTCACTTCCTTCTCGTGGCGGTGTTGTTTACGAAATTGAGATGACGAAAAGCGAATGTCCGGCGCTTTAACCGAGTTGGTGAACACGGAAACTTCACCTAGGGGAGTTGGAAACCCCCTATTCTAAACCAATGGTGCACATAGGCTCCAGTATCCTGAGGGAACAAATGACGTATGAATCAATCGTTGGTCACCGGCTATCATGGGACAGCATTTCCTCACAATGCTCCACTGCCTTGTGGATCAGATCTTTAGGTCAAAGTATCCATGTGTGGCTCCTTAAGAAAACCACCTGCTTCGGTCCGGGCACCCGAGCAGTATCACAGCCCTCACACAAATCAAATGAGATTTGTGCGGCGCATATGTATGTGGTGCTTCCTTGTATCGATATTTATATGTTTAAATAACTAAATCAGGATATTGGAGCCCATATGCACCATCGGTTTAGAATCAGGGTTTTCCAACTCCCCTAGTTGGACTTTCCGTGTTCACCGAGCCGGACACTCACTTTTCGTCCTCTCAAATTTGTAAACAACACCTCTGCCACGAGAAGGCAGTGAGTGGGACTTCGCTTGCAATGTTTATATACTTTTGGCCAAGTGAGAGCATTTGGAGGGGGATGGCGGACTCTCCCCACTCTCGGCTGTACCAGGCCATTTGAGGGCCCTACACCTACTATAAGTTACGATAAAGTTTTCTTTTTCTGGTAGCATTAATAACTGTTTCATTATAACTCATTGTATAATTCAGAAATCCGTTTATTGTTGTTTTGAAATGTATGTGTATATTCTAGCTCTTCTGGATTCTGTTACACAAGTAATCTGCTTAGAAGGGTTGGGTTCACCGAATTTTGGTCAAAATATGTATGCACATGTATCGAAGCCACCAAAAGAGGGTTCATTTTTATATTATTTTCTTAAAGCTTTAAATGTAGCCAGTCAGTTACATCCATTTCCAAATGAGGTAATACATATGCGCATATATATCTATATTTTCCTGTGATTAATTTTCCCAATATAATTTATTCATTTAAACAAATCACAGTCAGTTATAAGCATTGTAAGTCCTGGCACAAATGTCTGTCAGTCAAAGTTGCTACATTGTAGTTGACGAAGTGATTTCATCGTGAGCTTAGTGAGTCCGAGTGCTATTAGAGAGAGGTATGTGGACGGGTATCACTTCCCGATTGTCTACAGCATTGACCTTAAAGCCCAAGAGACAATTCCCTAAACTGTTTACCACATTGCCTTATTGTGAATAGTTTTTATTTAATTTATCAGCTCTGTACTGTTCATGCCTTACTTTCGGTAACAGTGAGGTATGCTACTTTTAGGGCGGATATTTTTTATTCTTCTCGTTTCGTCGTTGAAAAGCAGCATCGATTGTTCAGTTACTGGTGCTTGCCGTTTCATCACTCTCGAGCTAACCTAGCCATTGCTAGTCACATACCGAATGTTCTAGTCATTGTGATTGTTTCTTTGTTTACAAATCGTAGAATATTTTAGTTATGTTGGTCAATCTATTCTGTGTCGTTCATATGAAAAGTATGTATTATCATACTTGATTTGGTTCGTAAATTTCTTCTCTTTCACCGTACAAATTCAAAACAAAAACTGCATACTGTGCGTATTGCCTCGATATAGCCTTAATTTACAAGCGGGTACATCCAGCTGACGAGTTCCGAATAGGACGAAACACGCGTCAAACTATATTCCACTGCTAGCCACTATTCATCTTTGCTTATAACGCTTGTGAATTACGCAATAACATTTGTCCATTTAATCTTTGAGTTACAATTGAACTATGAATATAAAGATATGATGTTAAGATTTTAAAAGTAAATATATGATTCATACAATGGAGACTGAGATTACGTTCTGGACTTAGGGGGCAGGGCATGACAAGAAAAACCAATAAGGACTCAGAGTTGACTTTAAGCTGTTTGTGCTGGTTATAACTTAATTGGTTTGGCACATGGCCAAAGTCATATCAATCAGTAATTTCATCACGTGATAGTAATTAATAAGGTCATTAGAGAGAACATAACACTTTTGTCTATTTAAATCTCTAAGTTACAATTGAGCTATAGATGTAGAGATATAATATGATGATTTTAAAACAAGACTCTACTGTAAGCAAAGATGAATAGTGACTAACAGTGAAATCCAGGACAAAGCGCGTTTCGTCTTATTTGGGACTCTTCAGCTGAAAGATTCAAACAAACAATACTAAATGAATTTAAGACTGTACTGTATTTTTAATTTATTGTTTCTATGCCTATATTAAAAAAAGATATTTTATGGGGGGGGGGGTATTTCATTCTCATTTCAGCTATTAATTCATAGTTATCAATCGCCAAGTAACAATGAGTCCAACAATAGTACCATTCAAATGATTCATAAAAAAATCAATTTAAATCAAGAAACTTTAGCTTGGGAACATGAACGTTTCTCTATTCATCGATTACCAAGTGTAACATTATCAAATTGGCCATCTATACAAATTGCTAATCAATTGCGTCAAACTACTTTAGATGGTATTAATGTTATGAATAAGAATGATGATGATGATGATGTATTAGCGGATTATTCTAATCATACTATTATACATCGTGGCAATGTGAATTCAGTTATATTAGCTCGAAATACACGTGTTATATTGGAAGGTTTGTTACGTGTTCTGTATGAAATAAATATAAATCAATCGATGATAATGAATAATTCACCAATTGTTGGATCTCATGTAAGTTGTTTGTTTTTTTCTTTTAGTTTTTCATTTGTTTTTTTTCCCCCAAATGCCCTGAGTGGGGAGAGTCAGCTCTTCCTCTACAAATGCTTTTCATATAGCCATATCCATACAACCTTGTGAAGGCTATTTACTTGAACACTACCAGTCGAGTGAGAGCTTATGGCGAACTGTCATATGATTTTACAACCTCAAGTGGTGTCCGTCAAGGTTGTCCACTATCCCCATTTTTGTTTAACTTCATTATAGACCTGTTGCTGGAAATAACACTCTCTTCGACTGAATTTACAGGAATTGATCTCCTATCAGGGGGACCACTAAGTGACTTAGAATACGCAGATGACATAGTCCTGTTTAGTGAAGACGCTGGCAAAATGCAGAGTCTTCTGTTAGAACTGAGTAATAATGCCAGGATGTTTGGGATGCGTTTCTCCCCATCCTAATGTAAATTGTTGCTCCAGGACTGGCCTGCGTCAACACCCGAACTAAGGATAGGGAGTGGAGTAGTCGAACGCATGGACAATTTCACTTATCTTGGAAGTCTGATTAGCCCTAATGGGTTGGTGTCTGACGAAATCTCAGAACGGATTCAAAAAGCTCGTTTGGCTTTTGCCAACTTACGTCACCTATGGCGAAGACGAGATATCCGTCTATCAATTAAGGGACGAGTATACTGCGCATCAGTTCGCTCTGTTCTACTTTACGGCTGCGAAACATAGCCATTAAGAGTAAAAGATACTCGTAGGTTACTAGTATTCATACTCTCAATTTCGTAAACAACACTCCCGTCACGAGAAGGCAGTGAATAGGACTTCATTGGTAGAGGCTATATACTCGTGTCCATGTGAAAGCATATGGAGAGGAAGAGCGTACTCTCCCCACTCTCGGCCGTACGAGGGCATTTGGGGGCAAGGACGTCTTTAGATATGAAATACTTAACAACATTTTTATTATTCTCAAGTTTTATTTCTTATGGTTTGGATGTATTATTTGACAAGTGTAGTGGTTTAGTGAGGCTCAACTTCCAAATATCAGGTCAAAAATTCAAACTTCATTGCACCTGCTTCTATTCAAGCAGCTGGGTAGTATGGGATTCGATCAGTGTCAGTCAGTTAGTCATAAATAACGTAGGATCTGACACATACATGGATCATTTAAAGTTAACTCACTTAATCAGTACATCAAAGTCGTCGAGGCAGTAACAGTATCAGGGATATCGGAGAGCATTAGATATGGACACGAATAATTTTAAGACTTGAAATCTAAGAGATGACAGAGTGAATGCCTTTATGTTATTTCAACCGTTCGTTAGGTTTATCACCCAACGTCTCCATCTATGGATTACGATAATCGCGTTTAGCCCAATCAGGTGGTATACATTCACAAACATTACTCAAGTCACCAGTCAATAACTGGATGCAGTCTCAGGTTTTGACCCTCATCTCATTTCTACTGTACTAAGTTATACAGAGTTAGTTGTATTGATTTGATAGAAATAAACAATTAATATATTATCAGAAGGAGTTTTGTGGTGATTTAGTATTTTCATAGTTGAAAGCTGAGTCAATTGAAGCGGATTGGTTGGAGTTAAACATAAACACCATAGAATGCCGGCTTAGTGGTCTATCGGTTAAGTGCTCTGGCGCAAGACTGATAGGTCCTGGGTTCGAATCTCGCTCGCAAGGCGGGATCGTGGATGCGTACTGCTGAGGAGTCCCATAATAGGACGAAACGGCCGTTCATTGATTCCAGGTTTTTCTTGGTGGTCTATTTTCAATTAGCTCACGCTTCCAATTAATGTATTGTTCTATAACTCTTTCCTCAGACTTTGTAGAACTGTAGCTCAATCAGTCAGTCAGCTACAACGTAGGACCAGGCACATTTATGCATCTGTCCAAGTTGCCATACCTCGTTAGCACAACAACATGAACACCGGATTCATAGAAGTAGTTAATTTAGTGATGGTAATATAAAAAAGAAAGATTGTACATAAGTATATAGTATAGGAAGGAAGACAGATATGAAGCAATTTTATTCTCAAGGTTTAAGGGAAGACAGGGAATGTATACACCTACGCCATTGTGATTGATTTTGAGCCATGTCACCTAGAGTCTCCAATCATTGGTTACGATAGTCACGCGAGCCTCACCTCTCCTTGTGGGAAGGCAGCATCGCTGTTATGCTGGTTGTCTGAAGTAAACACCTTACTACCGTCACACCTCTGTACAGTCAGCAGTACGACTTCGGACGTTGGGTTTGCTGCGTTTAGTCTTACCGCTCTTCAACCGACCTGCCTGGCATGATAGGACCTTGAGGAACGATTGTTCCAGCCTGTATAGCTCGATTGGTTCATCACGATACGCAAGCTCGACCACCACGTCAAGGTAGCAGCAACGGTCGTTTAAAATGTTCAGCTTTTTTAGTTACTTCACTACAGGTTCAAACTTCGTTACATCTACTTCGGTTTAAGCGCATTTCCTTGGAGTTGAACTCAACGCCAAGTACACAATTCTCATTTCTGAAGTTAACCGTGTTTTGTCTAATAATTTTCTTTATATATAGTGGTCTAATGAAATCACAACTGGCTCATTATTGGATTTAATTACTAAAACTCCTAGAAGTGCTCAATATTTAACTTCAAAATGGAATACTCATTATAAAGCTGTGGAACGTTTACCTTCAACAGATCCTAAAATCAATGGCAAAGATCCTTCAAATAGAACAAGTGTCATTAAAGATTTAGAATATTATTTATCACAAATTGTCGATGATGTTCATGTTGTACAATATTCATTAAATGATGAAACTACCAAGTCAGGTGATAAAACATCATCTTCTAATCATAGAAGTAGTAGTAGTAGTCGAACAAAAACTGGTCCTCATTCAGATTCTAGTGAAACAGAATTTAATTCAATACCATCAATGATTATTACCTCGACGGCAGCATCTACAGAAATAAATGTTGTTTTATATTCTGATGCGGATCCATGTATTATGTCTGTTCATAGGTAAGTTGTAAAATTTTGTTATTATCGATGTTGTGGTTGCATTTTTTTCTATTCTAGAAATTAAGAAGGTAGTTAGTCTTCATTAACATCGCCCACGAATGCCCTGGTACGGCCGAGAGTGGGGAGAGTCTGCTCTCCCTCACGAAATGCTCTCATATGGCCAGCGAATATATAGCCGACCGTTGCTGCTACCTTGACGTGGTGGTCGGGCTTGCCTATCGTGTTGATCCAATCGAGCTATGCTGGCTGGAACAATCGTTCCTCAAGGTCCTACCATGCCAGACAGGTCGATTGAAGAGCGGTGAGACTAAAAGCAGCAATCCCAAGGTCCGAAGGCGAAGTCGTACTGCTGACTGTACAGAGGTGTGAAAGCAGTAAGGTGTTTCCTTCAGACAACCAGCATGACAGCGATGCTGCCTTCCCACAAGGAGGGGTGGGGTTAGAAAAGGTCGACCCTAAAAATGCACACCTCTCCTTATCCCACGGATTTCCGTCTCCGGCGGTAAGGACTTTTGAAGAACGGAGCTAACACGTCAAAAATCCCCCACAAAAAGGCCGTGCGTGACCGGCCTCAAGCAGTTGTCTCTTGGGCACTGCGGTCACGCACCCAGGTCGTTAAGACCAACACTAATCCAACTTCTTTTTCAGGTCCCTCAAGAAATACCCTTCCACGGTGTGGGCAGCCGGGAAGTGATACTAGCCCTCATACCCTTAGCTGCACACAAGACCAAGTTGGTCGCTTTCAAATCCTTCCTACACCTCCTAATAACTCTGTTATCTCCACGACTAACCCTTCCCACGTCCTTTTATCACCTCGCACCGCTAGGGCAAACGATTCGAGTACACAGAACGTTATTTCTGGTCTCCTGAAACCACGCTCTAAACTACATATAGGAACTTTTAATGTCCGAACATTGTGCCAAATAGGACAACAGGCTTCCTTAGCTAGGACTCTAGAATCTTACACCATCGATGTGTGCTGCGTCTCCGAAACGCGCATACAAGATCCGAGTAGTGTCATTCATTTGACCTCACCTAATCAAAATAAAGTTTCATCTCGATACACGCTTCGTGTATCTGGAAGCCCTGACGCTGCTTCCCGTGGCCTCGCTGGAGTAGGTATAGCATTAAGTCCTAGGGCAGAACTAGCTCTTTTAGACTGGATCCCAGTAGACAGTCGTCTATGCGCTGTCCGACTAAACGGATCAGTAAGGACCCGGAAAGATAGGGAAACTCGTCGTTGCCTCTTCGTCGTCTCTGCCTACTCTCCCACTGACTGCAGCTCAGACGATATAAAAGATGAGTTCTACAGGAAACTTTCTGACCTTCTCCGAGAAGCTAGGCGTTCTGATGTTGTAATAGTAGCAGGTGACTTTAATGCTCAAGTAGGTAAACTAAGTGAAAGGGAAAGACACCTGGGTGGATCTTATGGTGTCATGGCGAAAAGAACAGATAATGGCGACCGTCTGTTGCAGCTGTGCTCAGATAACCGCCTATTTCTTGCAAATACTAACTTTAAGCATAAGGAAAAACATCTTTTGACATGGCGACCCCCGAATTCGTCCCAACGTTGGACCCAATTAGATCACATCGCTATCAGCCACCGATGGAGGGGCTCGATTGAAGACTGTCGCTCATTATGGGGCACATGTCTAGATTCAGATCATGCTCTAGTGCGAGCACGTATCTGTCTGCGTCTAACTGGTCGTAGGAAAGACACTGTAGGGAAGCCTCTAAGGGTTCTACTTAATGATAGGCAAGCTAAGAATATATATCAGGAACAACTAGAAAAACAGTTAGGCAGCCATGTAAGTTGTGTCCACCCCGAGGCAGCGTGGAATGACATCCGAAAAGCTGTGGAAACAGCAGTGATGTCCGCTAGTAAGGTAAACCATAACGTTAGGGAGAAACAATGGATCTCGGCAGCATCTTCCGCACTGATAGATGCTCGTAAACTCATCCCACCTGGCTCTGAGCATAACGAAGAGCGGAGTCAACTTAAGCGCAGGCTTATAAGAAGCCTACGTAATGATCGTGAACAGTGGTGGGTAGGGAAAGCAAGAGAGATGGAAAAGGCAGCAGCAATAGGTAACAGTAGGCAGCTATTCAGACTCGTTAAAGAAACCGGCATTAGGAACCCGAATATCAGTGAAACCATCTCAGATAGAGATGGGCATATTATTCATTCTCAATCCAGGAGATTGGATCGATGGGCAGAACACTTTAGGGATCAGTTCAACTGACCTTCAGCCACGCTTCAATTACCCACGATCCCCAGTCGTCCTGAATGGCAAATTGACGTAAGTCCTCCAACCCTCTGTGAGGTTGAAAAAGCTATAGGAAATCTGAAGCGAGGGAGAGCAGCAGGACCTGACAGGTTGACCCCTGAGATTTTTAAGGATGGTGGTCCAGTACTAGCAGTGAGATTGACTGAGGTCTTAGGTAGAATCTGGGAACTGGACGTAATTCCATCTGACTGGTCCCAATCACTGATTGTGCCAGTCTATAAGAAAGGACAAAAGTCCTCCTGTGACAATCACAAAGGGATCAGTTTGACTAATATAGTGTCTAAAATATTAGCTTCAATAATACTAGGTCGCCTAACCAAAGCTCGTGAAGAGCAGACTAGAGAAAACCAGGCTGATTTTCGACCTGGACGTGGTTGCATAGACCAGATATTCACCCTACGTCAGGTTCTAGAACATAGACACAAATTCAGACGTCCCACAATAGTAGTATTTCTTGACCTTAAGGCGGCATTTGACTCTGTTGATCGTGAGGTTCTATGGCAATGTTTGTCACTGAAAGGAGTACCAAAGAAGTACATTAACCTCATAAAGGCTCTCTACTCGAACACAACTGGTCGAGTTAGAGCCTATGGCGAACTGTCATCAGAACTGATTACCACAAGTGGAGTTCGTCAGGGCTGTCCACTCTCCCCATTCTTGTTTAACTTTGTCATTGACATACTTTTAGAGACAGCACTTTCATCAGCTAAGCCTCCAGGAGTTGAACTCTTACCGGGAGGCTCACTTGTTGACTTAGAATACGCCGACGACATAGTTTTACTCGGTGAAGACGCTGACAAAATGCAGAGTCTTCTGACCACCATAAGCAACAATGCAGGCATGTTCGGGATGCGATTCTCTCCCTCGAAGTGCAAAATGTTACTTCAGGATTGGGTTGCAGCGACACCTGAACTAATGATAGGGAGTGAAGTAGTTGAGCGTGTAGACCACTTCACTTATCTTGGGAGTCTCATCAGCCCTTGTGGTCTGGTGTTTGACGAAAACTCAGCACGGATACAGAAGGCTCGTCTAGCTTTTGCCAACTTGCATCATTTGTGGCGTAGGCGAGATATCCGTCTAGCAACCAAAGGACGGGTTTACTGTGCAGCAGTTCGTTCCGTCCTACTTTATGGAAGTGAAACATGGCCGGTAAGAGTAGAGGATATTCGTAGGCTACTAGTGTTCGATCATAGGTGTCTTCGAAGCATTGCTCGTATATCCTTGGACCACCGGGTAAGTAATGCAGTTGTTAGGAAACGAGTACTAGGTAGGGATGGCAAATCGATTGATGAAGTAGTGAAACTTCATCAGTTGAGATGGCTGGGACATGTGTTACGTATGCCCGACCACCGACTGCCCCGACGTGCAATGTTTCATGGTGTAGGAGTAGGTTGGAAGAAAGCTAGGGGTGGCCAGACCAAAACGTGGCACAAATCAATGAAGTCACTGACAAGTGGACTGGGCCATGTTGGTAAGTGTAGACTACCTGGTTGGGATTCGCGAAATGATAGCGATCGATGGTTAGAGACCTTGAATGACATGGCTCAAAATCGTTTGCAATGGCGAAGATGCATCCACTCTTTGTGTTCTACCGAATTCTAATCTTCTGAATTCCTCATGTCTTTATGTTTTTCTCCTTCCAAATATATTTCACTGTACTATACTCCTTCAATAACATCTTCAAACTCTAATCTTTCCGATTACTGCTTATACTCTTACTAATTCTTCCACTATGGGATTTGAATCGACAACTGCATCTGTGTGCTAATGTGGTATGGCAACTCGAACTGATGTACGTACGTACGAAGTTCTACGTTGTGACTGACTGACTGACTGACTGAGGGAAGTCCTACTCACTGCCTTCTCGTGGAATTACTGTTGTTTACGAAATTGAGAGGACGAAAAGCGAATGTCCGGCGCTTTAACCGGGTTGATGGACATGGAGGGTTCACCTAGGGGAGTTGGAAAACCCTGATTCCAAACCAATGGTGCACATGGGCTCCAGTATCCTGAGGGAACAAATGGCGTACGAATCAACCGTTGATCACCGGCTACCATGGGACTGCATCTCCTCACAATGCTCCACTGCCTTGTGGATCAGACCTTAAGGTCAAAGGATCCATGTGTGGCCCCCTAAGAAAACCAACTGTTTCAGTTTGGGCACCCGAGCAGTATCACAGCCCTCACACAAATCAAATGAGATTTGTGAGGCGCATATGTATGTGGTGCTTCCTTGTACCAATATTCATGTGTTTAAATAAATAATAAATGACTTCATTAACATCGAAAGTAGAAACTTAATTAAAGATTACAGTACTGGAAGTCATCAATGATCTCTTGGAAAACATTCCAAAAGTCAGGAGGAATGCTAAAAAGAAATACTTGAATGAATCAATACACTTTAGAAGCTTGAATAGAAACTTGATATACTTTTCTCGAATCTTCTAGAACCTCGATTTTGTAAATGGACCCCTATTTTTATATGTAATTCAATGTTCACAGTAGGGCTTCTGTTTCCTGTTGATGGGGTCGAAAAGTTTCAAAGACTAAAAGAAATCTAATGTCTAAAGTGTTCAAAGTAAAAGATTTATCACATTGAATAGTTGTTTCATTCTAGCTTGATAGTTTTGCTTCTAATAACCGTAGAGTATCAAATAATCACGTAGAACAATTCATTCATATTCAACTTCTTTCTGTCCTCCTGTATATACATACATATTCAGCGTTTTTCATTGTTGAAGTACATCTAAAGCTTCATAAGATTTAGCTTAATCAAATAATTATTTTCTCATACCATTAAGGTCATATTTATTTATTTAAACATATAAACATTGGTACAAGAAGTCACCAAATAGCTATGTGCCACATAAATCATTCAATTTATATGAGGGCTTAGATACTGCCTGAGTGCCCAAACCGAAGTAGATGGTTTTCTTGGAGGACCACACACCGAGCCTTTGACCTAAAGGTCTAATGCACAATGCAGTGGAGCTGCGTATAGAGATGCAGTCCCGTGGTAGCTGGTGACCAACAAGTGGTGCATGCGCCATTCATTCCTTCAGGATACTGGAACCTATGTGGACCATTGTTTTGGAATCAGGGTTTTCCAATTCCCCTAGGTGAATCCTCCATATTTATCAACCCGGTTAGAGAGCCGGTCATTCACTTTTCGTTCTCTCAATTTCGTAAAAAAAAACAGTAATGCAGTGAGAAGGCAGTGAGTAGGACTTCCCTGTCAGAGGCTATATACGCGTGGCCATGTAAGAGCATTTATACTGTGTAACTAGGTTATAATCTTTCCTTCATTGTAAAATACAATGTTACATAATAACTAAATGAGAATTCACTTACCAAACTTTTAGTTACATTAGTTATTCAGGGTAAAATTTAATTGTACAACTATTCAATTTGTTTAAAGTAAAACACTATTTACATTTGCAACTTAATGATTAGTTGTTAAATTCACTTGGTATTGTTTACTTGTATCTTCCCATTTTTATTTAGGACTGCAATTGATCAGTCTTTTGTTGGCATATGTACATCCTGTGGGTATTGCTTGCCTGAAGTCACAAGCTTTATAAGTAAAGATAGATAGTGGCTAGCAGTGGAATACAGGGCGTGCGTTTCGTCCTGGGTTCGAGTCCTAGAGTGAACATCAATTCTGTGGTGCAAGTACATCTCGCTGACGAGTCCCGAATAGGACAAAACGCGCATCCTGCATTCCACTGCTAGCCATTATCCATCTTTGCTTAATGATTAGTTGTTATATCGATAAGACTATTTTGAATTATTTTTTTCTGGTTATCATTTTTTTAACCAGTTAGCTTTCTATGGGATAGAGTCACTAACTCTATGCCCAACTTTCCTTCCTTTATCCTGGCTTGGGAACTGCAGCAACTCCAGAGGGACATCATGTGGAGTTATCGATAAGATTATAGTTTTATTAATATTAAGATAGTTCATAGTTAATACATTGAGTGATGGAGTTAAAACATTCAGTAGACTATCTCATAGGGGGTTGTATATAATAACTTGAATTAGAATTCGTTAACCTTTCGTTGGAATATAACTTGAAGCACCATGGAAGGGATCTTGTAAAAAGTTTGTTTCTTTCTCTTTTTTTCCTTTTGAAGGCTTAAATCGTCCATATTTGATTTTGTTATTGCTTGTTTAATAACTGGTTACCTTGGATTGATGTATATGTTTTTGGAGGTGAGTTTTTTTCTGTGTCTGTGTGTGTGTAACATTTGCAATTTGTCTTCAGTACTACAACCACAACAGGTGAATCCAAATGATAGATCACTTGGCATTAACCATTGATATAAAATATACTTAGTCCCTAGTGTTAATCGAATTGCATTGATTAAGCTAGTTTCACCACTAGTCTAAGTAACTAGTCATTGCGTATACTATGCTTTGATTTTAAGTGATTGGAGACAATCAGAAAGAAGCTGTATATCTAAATGTAGTGCTTTTTGATACTCGTCATCTGGACACATTTACAATCTTATATATGATGTTGTAACATATCTGACTGTAACAATGTGGTGAGATAGATTCGAACACCCCGGGGCAGCGTCAGCTCCTGTATAGTGGTCGTAGGTGTGTTCTGCTAAGGAGTTCAAGCTAGTACGAAACATGGACTCAAGACTTCCTGCTGTAATTCCCTCTAATTACATCACATTATACGTACTCTGACATCATAACATAAAACGACCTATCCAGTATTCTGTTGAATGACTAAATGGTTCCAACTCTTGTAGATGGTACATACAATGGCAGACAATTTGGAATCTTTCCGACAATTCCATTTCATAAATCATGAGTAAAGTACTAAACAACTTTATTTTTTCAACCTGAAACGCTTGTGATCAAATAAAAAAGTACTGCTAGCTTCAGTTATATTGTTGTTGAATACAGATACCTATTAATCCTTTCCCTAGCCCCACTTTTTCAAGTAAATCTGAAAAATTAATCACTATGGTAATAGATGGAACTAAGTGAGCAACTTTGCATACAATTATTTTCTTTCCGATGCCGTTAAAAAAAGAGGAAAAACAGGTTGTAACTATAGAAAGGCAAATGCGAAATACGTCTGTTTGTTGGAAAAATGAAAAATATCTCTTATAAGTTAAGCGTCATGGCAGAGTTCGAACTCGCTCTCTCTTATAACAGTGTATTGTTTTCTGGTGAGACTATAATTTATGAACGACCTTCGAACGAATCTCAAGTGACCTTGAGAAATATTAACCAATCAGAAGGCAGTTAATATAGAGTAAAAATATATTATACAACAACAAAGAATCAGAGTGGATACACTTCTTTTACATAGTTCTAAAATCGTAATGCATAAGGTAGACGAACTCATCCATATGACTCCATAGTAGTCGATCTCTGAAAAAAGCCATGATAAGATCGCACAAACTCTATCAGCCTCCACCACATAGCTTCAATATTGTTTGTGTGTACCCCGGTTGTGTAAATTTATCATTTTTATCTTGCATATATCTCTACAATACTCATACCACTGAACAGTCGAAACTTCCGTAACATCTGCAAATAGTTCGCAGCTATTATTATAATTTGCCCTAGTTTCAATGTGGATCAAAAGAAGAAAGTTTCTATTCTAGCAGACTTCTTCCTGTAATATATATTACATCGAAGGACAACATCATCAGGGTAGTCTGTATAAAATCTACAAGTCAAGTGATTATCGTAATTACAAATAAAGTAACTTCTTAGTTGTCTCATTTATTGTAGTCGTTTAATGGTCACATCGTCTCTAAAATCTGTGAACCGATTATACTTGAGCATCAGATATTGAAATTAGCGCTGTGATCGTAAAATCTCTCAAACGCTTCTGATTGGCTCGTTCATAAATTATAGTCTCACTTGTTTTCCCATCATTTTTTTTTCTTATTTTCTTTTCTCTCTACAGTATTTTCACATTGTTCAAAATCTTTTTAAATATAATCGAACAATCAAATCAAAATCTCAATAATGTTATAACCCTTCCCCCCCCTTCTGTAGTTTACATGTTATAAACTGTTGTACAAAAATGAAGATTGAATAGTTTCCATATTGATTTAATGTATTTACATTTATCTGTATTATGAAGGTTTTTTAACTTTAATCTTTTAGTCTAATGTGTACAACATTCTATGTATTTTCAATGTTTATGGATAGTACATAATAAGGAATATACAGGCTGGTTGTTCTTTTATTCCCTCGAATTATTGATACTTCAATTTATAATCAAAACGGAGTTTTGTGGAGATTTCAGTTGTGTTTTTTTTTCATAGTTAAAATCATGAGTCAATTGAAGCTAGGTCCTGGATTCGTAACTCGCGAGTGCGGGATCGTGGATGCGCACTGCTACTGAGGAGTCACACAATAGAACGAAATAGCCGTCTAGTGCTTCCATGGTGGTCTAGCTTTAATTAACTCATGATTTCAACTTCAGTTTATTCCAAATTGTGTTATCGTATGGTTTCGTTAGTTAGTTTTCCTTTTACATAGTTGAACAATTTTCCAAGCACTATCTTATCGCAACATAGTACACGCAGTGTCGAGTCACCTAAACTAGTGGTTATATTGCAACTTGATCGATAGCATTCGATCTACACTAAGAAGGACTTGAAACACATGATATTGATCACCACTCAGTGATTAATTAATTGTGATTACATCTCAGTCCTATAGGAGGTTGATCGCGGCCCGGATAGCTCAGTGGTAACGTCTATGATTGTGAAGCTGAGTGACACGGGATCGAATCCGTCAGGGAGCACCAGTTGGCTTGAGATTACAGGTACACCTTGCTGACAAGTGGCACGAAACCCGAGTCCTGGGTTTTGTGTTGACCATCTCTAACCAGTATCTTATCTCAACATAGTGCACGCAGTGGCCGCATTGTAACTTGATCGATAGCAATCGATCTACACTAAGAAGGACTTGACACACATGACATTGATCGATTGTAATTTTCCAACTTGATTGAAATAAAAAATATGTAGATTATTACTTATGGGTTTATGAAATTAACGATTTTAAAAGTGTTTTGCTTATTACGAAACATAAAAGCCGATGGTTCGATTCTAGTTAACATTAAGGTAAAGAATGCAGACTTGCTGACGAGTTCGAGACTATAAAACGAAACAAACGTCCCATATTTATTGGTTCTCAGTGGTCCTTCAGTTGATAGATATCTTTGGATTACTTTCATTTGGTTGTTGATATCTCCGAAGCATTGCTCGGATATGTTGAGACCATCGAGTTAGCAATACTGGAATTAAACATTAGGCTACTGAATAGATTGATTAGATAGTTAATCTTCAACTAAGGTGGTTGTGATATGTATTACCCAACTACCCCCTACCTCGCCACACGATAGTCGCTGGTGTAAGATTATGTTAGAAGAAAGTTAGAGGCAATCAAATCAAAGCGTGGCATCAGTTCATGTAGTTATTGACTGTTAATTTGAGTAATGTTTGTGAATGTATACCCCCTGACTGTGCCAAATGCGACTACCGTAATCAATGGATGGAGACGTTGGGTGACATACCTCAGGAACGGTTGCAATAACGCAAATGCATTCACTGTGTCATCTCTTAGATCTCAAAATTATCTCGTACTTTACATTATGCGAATTAATTATTTTGCATTTATTCGTGTCCATATCTAATGCTTTCCAATGTTCCTGATACTGTTAATGCTTCGACGACTCCGGCATTCAGAATGATAATATTGTTGTACCGATAAAATGAGTTGACTTGAAATGATCCACATATGTATGAGAGCTAGAAAACTGATTCCGAACCAATCGTTGGTCACTGGCTGCCATGAAACTGCATCTCCTGACGTTGCTCCACGGTCTTGTGGATTAGACTTTAATGCCAAAGGCCCTGTTATTATATGACGTTTTAAGACTGTTAATTAGAAAGCAGCGAATTATTGATTGGAACAGTGACACGCGGAAACTGTACGAGCAGTCTGGAGTACTTATCGGTCTTGCTTCTGCATAGCCCACGCAGTTAAGTCCAGAAAAGCCTCTGTGGTATGAATCATTCTATTTCAAACATACTGAGTTTATATGCTAATCAAATTGACCATGTCGTGCCGTAAAATAGAAAATAAGATTTGGCCAAATGTGGCTGTGAATAGGGGGGACAGTAATTAATATACTGGGTATAACTCAGGAATGGTAAATCGTACAGTAATAGTTTATGGATCAAAATAAAGCTCATAATAAGAGGAACCTGAATATGAATACTTCAGTTACTTAACAATTATACAATAGGAGATATGCATATCATATTGGTCCATAAATAGTTTTCAAAGTTACCATTCATAAATCCCCACAGGTTATAACAGTCCGATTTATACTACTAGTTGTTATATGTGTACACGTATACTTATATTACGAACACATCTAGTTGTAAATACATTAGTGTTTATTCATTCACTATTATCACCCCACTACAAGATTTTCCTTGCAACCTCTTGCCTAAAAGTAATGAAGGTTCCAAACGACAAGAGTCAGTCACAACGTAGAACTTCGTACGTACATCAGTTCGAGTTGCCATACCATATTAGTACAGAGATGAAGTTGACAATTCAAATCCCATATTGGTAGAAGTAGTAAGAGTATAAGTATTATGTGAAAGATAAGGGTTTGAAGAAATTATTGAAGGAGTATAGTACAGTGAAATAAATTTGGAGGGAGAAAAAAGATAGAGACATGAAGAATTCAGAAGATTGGAATCTGGGAGAATACAAAGGGTGGATGCACCTTCGCCATTGCAAACGATTTTGAGCCATGTCATTCAAGGTCTCTAACCATCGGTTTCTATCATCTCGCGAATCCCAACCAGGTAGTCTACACCTACCAACACGGCCCAGTCCACTTGTCAGCGACTTCATGGATTTATGCCATGTTTTGGTCTGGCCGCCCCTACCTTTCTTCCAACCTACTTTTAAATTATAAAACATTGCACGTCGTGGCAGTCGGTGGTTGGGCATACGCAACACGTGTCCCAGCCATCTCAACTGATGAAGTTTCAGTACTTCATCAATCGATTTGCCATACTTACCTAGTACCCGTTTCCTAACATCTGCATTACTTACCCGGTGGTCCAAGGATATACGAGCAATGCTTCGAAGACACCTATGATTGAATACTAGTAGCCTACGAATATCCTCTACTATTATCGGCCATGTTTTACTGCCATAAAGTAGGACGGAATGAACTGCTGTATAGTAAACCTGTCCTTTGATTACTAGAGGGATATTTCGCCTACGCCATAAATGACGCAAGTAAGTGAAAGCTAGACGAGCCTTCTGTATCCGTGCTGAGATCTCGTCACACACCAGACCACAAGGGCTGATGAGACTCCCTAGATAAGTGAAGTGGTCTACACGCTCAACTACTTCACTGCCTATCATTAGTTCAGGTGTCGCTGCAACCCAATCCTGAAGTAACATTTTGCACTTCGAGGGAGAGAATCGCATCCCGAACATGCCTGTATAGTTGCTTATAGTGGTCAGAAGACTCTGCATTTTGTCATCATCTTCACGAAATAAAACTATGTCGTCGGCGTATTCTAAGTCAACAAGTGAGCCTCCCGGTAAAAGCTCAACTCCTGGAGATTGAGATGATGATAGTGATATCTCCAAAAGCATGTCAACGACAAAGTTAAACAAGAATGGGGAGAGTGGACAGCCCTGACGAACACCACTTGAGGTAATCAGTTCTGATGACAGTTCGCCATAGGCTCTAACACGACCAGTTGTGTTCGAGTAGAGAGCCTTTATGAGGTTAATGTACTTCTTTGGTACTCCTTTCACTGACAAACACTGTCATAGAACCTCACGATCAACGGAGTCAAATGCCTCTTCAAGGTCGAGAAATACTACGATTGTGGGGTGTCTGAATGTGTGTCTATGTTCTAGGACCTGACGTAGAGTGAATAACTGGTTCATACAACCACGTCCAGGTCGAAAACCAGCTTGGTTTTCTCTAGTCTGCCCTTCACGAGCTTTGGTTAGGCATCCAAGTATTATTGAAGCTAATATTTTAGACACTATATTCGTCAAACTTATTCCTCTGTGATTGTCACAAGAGGACTTTTGTCCTTTCTTATAGACTGGCACAATCAGTGATTGGGACCAGTCAGATGGAATTACGTCTAGTTTACGAATTCTACCGAAGATCTCAGTCAATCTCACTGCTAGTACTGGACCGCCATCCTTAAAAATCTCAGGGGTAAACCTGTCAGGGCCTGCGGTTCTCCCTCGCTTTAGATTTCCTATAGCTTTTTCAACCTCGTAGAGAGTTGGAGGACTTACCTCAATTTGCCATTCAGGACGACTGGGGATCATGGGTAATTGAAGTGTGGCTGAAGTCCAGTTGAACTGATCCCTAAAGTGTTCTGCCCATCGATCCAATCTCCTGGATTGAGAGTGAATGATATGCCCATCTTTGTCTGAGATAGTTTTGCTAATAGTTTGGTTCCCAATACCGGTTTCTTTAACAAATCTGAATAACTGTCTGCTGCTACCTATTGCTGCTGCCTTTTCCATCTCCCTTGCTTTCGCTACCCACCACTGTTCACGATCATTGCGTAGGCTTCTTACGAGCCTGCGCTTAAGCTGACTCCGTTCTTCGTTATGTTCAGAGCCAGGTGAGCATCTATCAGTGCGGTAGATGCTGCTGAGATCCAGTGTTTCTCCCTAACGTTATGGTTTACCTTACTAGCGGACATCACTGCTGTTTCCACAGCTTTTCGGATGTCATTCCACGCTGCCTCGGGGTGGACACAACTTACATGGCTGCCTAACTGTTTTTCTAGTTGTTCCTGAAATATATTCTTAGCTTGCCTATCATTAAGTAGAACCCTAAGAGGTTTCCTTGCAGCATCTTTCCTACGTCCAGTAAGACGCAGACAGATACGTGCTCGCACTAGAGCATGATCTGAATCTAAGCATGGGCTCCAGAATGAGCGACAGTCTACTATCGAGCCTCTCCGTCGGTGGCTGATAGCGATGTGATCTATTGGGACCCAACGTTGGGACGAATTCGGGGGTCGCCATGTCAAAAGATGTTTTTCATTGTACTAACAGTTAGTATTTGCAAGAAACAGGCGGTTATCTGAGCACAGCTGCAACAGACGGTCGCCATTACCTGTCCTTTGAGTCATGACACCATAAGATCCACCGAGGTATTTTAATTTTCCCTCCATAGCTTTGCACCTCGTGCTAATTGCCTATCTTTGTCACGTTGATATGGCGTGTGGCAACTCCGCTTGTAGCCCCTCCGGGGACTACTACCGGTCCCAAGCCCGGATAAAAAAGGAGGGTTGGACATAGGGTTAGTGACCCCATCCCGTAGAAAACTAACTCGCTAAAAAAACGCTAACTAGAAAAAGTTATTCAAACCATTTAAACTCTGTCTTTGGAGTCAGGTTTTCATTTAGAAGAGTTGTGATGCCTCAAGATGAAAGCCGAGTTCCTTCGGAAGCCACGAGGCCGATGCTCCTTCTGACAACCAGATCAACCATTTATCTAGATACGTGGAATTCTCGTACAATGTGGGAGACCGTGAGAGCCAAATTGCTGCAGAAACTTTAAGGCTGATACAAATCTATACTAGATCTCATGCTGTATATTTCTGACTTATATTTACTCAATGAGATCTAGGGAGACGTCAGATAGCAACGTAAATTGAGGTAGACAAGACAGTTTTTAAATCCATAACCCAAAGATAGAAAAATTAAATTCTGAGCTCAATGAAATTGTAGTTCTTCAATATCGTTAACTTAGTTTATCAGTATAAACACTAATTTACATGATAATGAATAATAATAATCATAAAGACATATACACAAATATTTAATAATTCAATTTGATGTTTATTCATCGTAATCCTCGTTGTCGTCGCCTTCCTCTTCTTCTTCTTCCTCTTCCTCTTGTTCTTCGTCTGATTCATAATCTTCTCCAGGTGTACGACCACCTCCACCATCATAATCGCTGTCATCGCTCTAGATAACAAAATGGAAGGGGAGATAATGATCTAAAAACTTTTCATAATGATACATGATTGTCTAGAAAATTGAACTGAATCTTTGATCATTAGTTAGTATTCTCAAATACTAGACACTGGTACTTAGGTATAACTAATCCTGTGACAAAACCTAAAACCATAAGTGCTACCCTGTGATATTGGCTCGTACGTAACTACTCAGTATAACGCTTTTCATTAGTTAATTTCATCCCCCCTAAATTCATCGGCGGTGGGGGTTCATAGATGAACCAATGAGTCCTAAACTTGATCGTACATGTCACGGCATTTGACTTTTCAATATTTATGAAGAAAACCTGGTGAAACTTCTTCATTGAAAAGAATGACTTAGCTGAATAATCCAGCATGGTGGTTTGAATAAGTGTAATTATTCATCTTTCAAACATCCGATTGTGATTTCATTTATTTATTTATTTAAACACATACATATTAGTACAAAGAGGCACCAGATACATATGCGCCACACAAATCTCATTTGATTTGTGTGAGGGCTGTGATACTGCCCAGGTGCCCACACCGAAGCAGGTGGTCTTCTTAGGGGGACCACACCCAGAGCCTTTGATCTAAAAATCTGATCAACAAGGCAGTGGAGCAACGTCAGGAGATGCAGTCCCATAGTAGCTGGTGACCAACGATAGATTAATACGCCATTTGTTCTCTCAGGATACTGGAGTCCATGTTTACCATTGGTTTGGAATGAGGGTTTTCCAACTCCCCTAGGTGGACTCGCAGATGATATACCCTTGTCAAACAAATACCCATTCACTTTAATCAAATAACCTGAGTTAAGGCTGGGAGAAACTATAGTACTGAAATGTATTAACCACCATTGCCACAGCTGATAAGATTTCTTAACATCAAAAACTAGCAAACTTCATTCAGTAATGTTAATATATTTTAACAACACAATCGATTAAATACATTCGGTAACAATCGATAAATAACAACAAATAACCATCACAAGATCTATATCACAACTTGAGTCATCATAAAAGAACACCTAAACTACGACAGGTAAGGGGATTTTAAATCTTATTTGTTTTACTAATACCCTGGTGCGGCCGAGAGTAGGGAAGGTCAGCTCTCCTTCTCCAAATGCTCTCACATGACCACACGTATATAGCCTGTGTAAGGGAAGTCCTACTAACTGCCTTCTCGTGGCATTACTGTTGTTTACGAAATTGAGAGGACGAAAAGCGAATGTCCGGCGCTTTAACCGGGTTGGTGGATATAGAGGATTCACTCTTTGTGTTCTACCAAATTCTAATCTTCTGAATTCCTCATGTCTTTATCTTTTTCTCTTTCCAAATTTATTTCACTGTACTATACTCCTTCAATAATTTCTTCAAATCTCAATCTTTTGGATTTCTGATTATACTTCTACCACTATGGGATTTGAATGGACAACTGCATCTCTGTGCTAATGTGGTATGGCAACTGGAACTGATGTACGTACGTACGAAGTTCTACGTTGTGACTAACTGACTGACCTAGGGGAGTTGGAAAACCCTCATTCCAAAACAATGGTGCACATGGGCTCCAGTATCCTAAAGGAACAAACGGCGTATGAACCAATTGTTGGTCACGGGCTACCATGGGACTGCATCTTTTCACGATGCTTCACTGCCTTGTGGATCAGATCTTTAGGTCGAAGGCTCCGGGTGTGCCCTCCTAAGAAAACCACCTGCTTCGTTCTGGGCACCTGGGCAGTATCACAACCCTCATACGAATCAAATGAGATTTGTGCGGCGCATATTTATCCGGTGCCTTCTTGTACCAATATTTATGTGTTTAAATAAATAAATAAATTACTAAGTTACAGTATATATAGAGATATTATGAACTTTCAGTGTAACCTAAAAATCCATAACAACGAAACTACTCATAAGTACCTTACAATTTGAGAGGGGTTACCTTGAATTTTCACAGATACTTTCCAAGTCAAAATGCAATTCACACACGTTCATATTACATTTTAATTACAAACTAGAAGAAAAATTTCTAGTGAGTTTACTTAGACACTTAGTAATCATGCATGATTGGACAAGTATATTATGCCTGAAAGTTGACTTTTATCATCTTCCAATAACGCAATTGAAATCTTGACACCAGTTTAGAAAGTTCAGTTGATTTGTGGCGACATACGTTACTTGCAGTATAAGCAAGATATTCACCAGCCAACCAAAAACGACGAATATACCGAGAGCCAATTCACTCTACTCTATTTTACAGCTATGAAACACGGCTTTTGAACATAGAAAATATTCGTAGGTTACTAGCATTTGAAAATAAATACTTTTCAAAAACTACTCATGCATGATAGGATCATCGAGTCATCAATGCTGAGGCTAGAAAGTATACTATGTGAAGGTGGTAAATCTGTAGATAAAGTGCTAGTGAGTCTATATCAACTGAAGTATTCAGGATATGTATTACGCATGTCCAACCACTGTCTACAGCAACACGCGGTATTGACTGATGGTGTAAGAGTAAACTGGAAGAAAGTTAGGAAAATCCAGACCAAAATGTGGCATCACTCTATGAATTTATTGATAGTTCAACTGAAGCATCTTAGCAGATACATACTACCTGGTTCGCATCCGTCAAATTATCGTAACCTACGATTTTATCAGTCAGGTGACATTGCTTAAAACTAGTTTCAATGGTGCAGATATATTTATTATTCATCTTCCCTTAGATCTAAGGTATTTTATACTTTTTTATTCCACAAATTTATTCCTTATCAAATCGTGTAGCCTATGCCTGGTCTTTTTGTACTACCACTAATACTGTTACTAATTAACGACTTTGACATCTCGCTGTGTTAATATGGTATAGCGAATTGAACTGATGCATACATATGCCACATTTTATGTTGCGTATGACTAAGTGACTGACTAGAATCAACTCAGATTGAAAATTCAGATTACTAGATTCTTATTCAGTAATTTAAAGATAATGTGCTCGTTCCAAGACCTGTGTGTCCTAGACTCGAGCCAACATAGGTTTGTGAGTGCACAACACTGAACAGTTTCAAACTAGAACGGAAACGGTATTCAAAGCTTCATGGTGTTTTAGATGATATCAGTATATAATGAAAGCTAACGGCAAATGTAAAACTGAGAGAAAACAATAAAGATATCAATTTAATAAAAAGATTTTCCTTACGTCATAATCTTCATACTTTGATTCATTCGCACTATATCCAGAACCTATGACATTTACTGGTGTTGTTGTTTTGCGATGACGATCATCAAAATTACTTACATCTGATCTAGCAAGTGATATCGGTTTGGATAAAACACTAGATAGTGTACTGCCAACTGGTTTCTGTTTTAAAATATTGTGACCGTCATCGTTCTTTTGAGGTGTAACATTTTCATTACTATATGATTTATTGTTACTAACCGGTTGGTTGGATTTTTTATCTTGAACTTCTACTTCAGATGCATAATTTGTATATTCATTCAAATCGTCGACATTAGATCTGGATCTCTAAAAGCGAAACAATAGACAAAGAGAATGTTTAAAGGTGATAAGAACCGAAATGAACTAAATACTAATTACGTATGGATTACAGTTCCCTTATACCTAGTTTGTCTGGTGCATAGTTACTGAATAAATGGTGGTTCTTAAATACAGACAAGTTAGTTAGTCAGTCCCTGCTTCAGCTTGGGCACCTGGGCAGTATCATAGTCCTCACACGAGTTAAATGAGATTTATGCGGCGTATATATATCTGGTGCTTCCTTGTACCAATATTTATATGTTTAAATATATAAATACATATTTAATCAGTCATAATCAGGCCTCCAAATGTCGTGGTACAGCCGAGAGTGGGGAGGGCCCGCCCTCCCTATCGAAATGCTCTCAAATGGCCAAGCGTATACAGCATATGCCAGGGAAGTCCTACTCCCTGCCTCCTCATGGCATTACTGTTGTTTACGAAATTGAGAGGACTAAAAGCGAATGTCCGATGCTTTAACCGGGTTGATGGATATTGGAAGTTTTTCTAGGGGAGTTAGAAAACCCTCATTCCAAACCAATGGTATACATGGGCCCCAGTATCTTGAGGAAACAAATGGCGTATGGACCAATCGTCGGTCACCGACTACCATGGTACTGCATCTCCTTATAATGCTCCACTGCCTTGTGAATCAGATCTTCAGGTCAAAGGCTCCGGGAGTAGCCCGCTAAGAAAATTACCTGCTTCAGTTGCTCCAGTTGACGTGGTGGTCGGGCTTGTTTATCGTGATGATCGAGCTATACTGGCTGGAACAATCGTTCCTCAAGGTCCTGCCATGCCAGACAGGTCGGTTGAAGAGCGGTAAGACTAAAAGCAGCAAACCCAAGGTCCGAAGGCGAAGTCGTACTGCTGACTACACAGAGATGTGACGGCAGTTAGGTGTTTCCTTCAGACAACTAGCATAACAACGATACTGTCATCCCACAAGGAGACGTGAGTTAGAAAAGATCGACCCTAAAAATGCACACCTCGCCTTATCCTACGGATTTCCGTCCCCGGTGGTAAGGTTCCAACAAGTACGGAGCTAACACAAAAACTACCCACAAAAATGTCGTGTGTGACCGACCTCAAGCAGTTGTCCCTTGGGCACTGCGGTCACGCTCTCAGGTCATTAAGACCACTTCTAACTCAATTTCCTTTTCAGGTACCCCTAGAAGAACCCTTCCACGGTGTGGGCAACCGGGAAGTGATAACTGCCCTCATACCTCTAACAGCACTCAAAACCACTGTATTCATAATCAATCTCCTTCTTGTCTGTTTGTACTTAGATAACACATAAATAGTGAACCTTACACTTACTTTAGGAGGATGCATGTCTACTGGTTCAGACATTTGATTCAAAGCTTGCTTACGTCTTCCACGTTCTACCTGAAATCCGTTATAGACAAATATTTAAATTACTGGAGTAGTATTTGGAGTGGTGGCTTTTGGTTTGACTTCTGTATCCACAGCCTCATTTTCAAGGGAAATATCTCCAAGACCAGCATCCTATGAGAATGAGACATAAATAAATTTTTATACCTGGAAAGCCCGGGTTTTTAGCTTTTGTTTTATCTGGTTAATGGTTTTTGTTTCGATAGCCTCAGCTACCTTCGACAGATCAGATCCGAAACGTCCGATAGCATCTTTAAGATCTTCAACTTCCTTTTGTGACCATTTCCCACAGGTCTTGGAATCCCCATCATTTTGTTGCGCTTGGAACTGCTTAAGATCTAAAGTAAGTTGAGCCAAACGACCGAACGCCACGGATGCTTGCTCAAAAATCTCGGCCACTCTCGAAAAGTTAGCCATTATTCGAAAAATAAGTGATGGGAGGTTTGGAAAGCAAAGACTTTTTTATTGAAACAGAAAGTATAAAGTATTTCACAGACAAGAGCTTTAGTATGTAGAATAGGTGAAGGAATTTGAGCTAAGTAGTGTTGAGTCTTAGTTAGTCACCGGTCATTCTTCCCCATTGAAATTTATCGCAGAATGCTGAAAAAGGAAACGAAGAATCATTATATTTCGGTAACCTGTTTAGTCAGTTCGAGGCTACAGGTTAGTAGAATGGAGTAGGCAGTGTTCACCGTTTCATAAGAATAAACAGTGCATAGTCCGATCACTCTTAGGTAGCGAATTATTTTTAATGACTTAAAACAGGAACACCAATTATTTCATAGAAGTGAATGTAGTGACTGAATAGCATTGAATTTACGTCTCATGGCCAAGTAATTATAAAAATAAATAAATAAACAGAATAGCCAAATAAACAAAGACTTGGGTGTTTGAGTGGCGTATTTCATGAGATTAACCATCAAACAGTATTACAGACTAAGTCAAAAAATGGCGAGACTATAAGTTATGTACGAACCAATCAGGTATAAGATAACAAGTCTTGGATTTTGGAGCGGAATTCACTCATCCATTTGGCTAAATAGAACTTTGGCATTATGGTTGATATCAGTTCATGACGAAAAGCCTAAATCTGATCCGTAACCTTAACCATCAACTGTAAATCACAATTCTAATTTTTCACACTAGTTTATAACCCTCATTTGGTTCTAGTTATTAAGTGGACACTCTCAAAGTCACTTTAGCCTCGCTCAAAGGTCGTTCATGAATATCATTTTAGCACGAAAATTTAAGCCAAAAAACAATCTGCCGATTTCAGGGTTTTCCCCAGTCACACGAAAATCCATAATTTTCCCAGGTTAAGGGGTTTTTTGTTTTTAGTTACACTTTCACAAAATCTTCTACTGCAGCTTCCCCAAAATTGGGAGACTGAAATATATGAGCGTCGGTCAGATAGACAACTTAGTACGAAAACAAGCAGTTACCAAAACACTAATCATTCTCTATTGCCAAACATATAATCGAAACACACCATAAGATTGATCTTAAGTCGGCTTTTGTGATGTTGTATAAAAGTGCAAAACGGCGTATACTTAGGTTTATTGAAGCCTTAGCCATACGAAAATGCAACCCTCTTTGAGCATTCAAAAACATTTTGTTCTCAACTTAAACCTACCCCGATAATTTAAGCTTACATTCCAGAGTGATCAGGTATCAGATTGTTTTCATATTATTATTATCCTTGTCTCCTCTTACCCCTCATTTCAAGCCTGATTGACCTTTTGTGTTTATATATAAATGTTCTTAATAAGTATATGCATGGTCAGATTGTTCAAAATGTATTGAGCTAATATATCAATTCGTTCTGATAATCTGGAGATAGTGTGATAATGAGATCGCCCTCTTACTACACTATCGAAATTTATCAAAGGAGCTAATTACTTTAAATTTGTTAAAAGAGGACTCTCTGTAAATATATTACCTACCATCTTCATATTACGACTTACATGTGCTTTATGCAATGACCCCGTTATATCGTCCTCTGATCAAGGTTACTGGGTTCGTGAAGGTCAGACTGTCTTCTAGTTTCAAACTGATGGTCTAAATACAATATTCAATTCCTTTATGACGAGTAAAGGTAAACAAATAATTTACATGTACTCTCTTCGAGATGTTAAGATGTGATTCAACTTCTTTAACAGAGCTCAGTGAGGAGTGTCTAGCCACTTCATCCTATTATTTCTGGAGAATCCGATAGTCGTTCATGGTTTGGGATACCTTAAGTTCTACTCCATATGAAGCCCCTCTGAGACTACTGCGGTTCCAGCTCCGAATAAAATAGGACAGTTTTGCGCAAAGCTGATAAACCCATCTCGTGAAAAAAGTCCGGCCGGAAAACCCTTGTTATGCAAAATCATATAAATCATTTAAAGTCATCAAAGAAACGAGCTGCGACGCCCAATGGTGAAAGACAAGATGTATCAGAAATCGTTAAGTAGACATTAATTCTGGCAGCCATGTCAACCGGTAATATAAATACATGGGATGTCTGGACAATATGAGTGACCGCAAGGATCATGGAATAGTGGCTGAAATGAGAAGAGATAATCCTGTCCAGATACGAATAAGTGGAAATCAATAGACAACACTAATTTTAGAATTATAATTGTACTCCTGTCATAGGGAACAAAATGCCTTCCCTCCCCTACGTCAACATGGAATTTTGTACTATTTTTACTGAATAATTATTCTATTGTACTTGATTTCGCGCTTATCATTAATTTCAAATATAATACGTTTATTTGTGCTCATCTAGTTTTACGTATCTCATATCGCACTATTTCGAGAATTCTTAATATGCACATTAATCCCAATACTCCTAGTTGTCATATTGGTGTCGCGGTGGAGTCAAATCTTGGACAGTTGCAAAATTATTCAAATAGGGACTACATGAAGGGATGTTTGGCCAGAAAGGATATTAGTGATGATAAATTCACAGCTTATTTCCTGACGTTCACCGACGAAGAAGCTTATAACCTCCTAAAGAATCTAGCTTTTTCAGAGAAACCAATGTCATTGTCATATTAATCTATCAAGGAATTACTACCTGGTAACGTGTAATTTGTTAACTTTGAATGCAGAGATAGATTGAAGTTTCGTGTAATGATATGACAAAATGATCAGAAAGTTAAGGATTTTATACTTGAACTACAGAAACAAACCGCAAAGTGAAATTCAAGAGGCCGATGGGAAGCCTAACCTCGTGATCAATTGATTGCTTTGATAAATATTCCGGAAAAGAATTGATTAAGAAATCCATAGGCTCATTCCAAGAAATCTAGATATAATAGTGCTGCACTCATGTAGTAACTTAACTACTACATACTTCTTAGCTAGAACACTGTTTAAAATACGTCTGCGATCCACTATTAAATTCTACATCCAACCAGTGTTTAACAAACCCTGTGAAATTTCTTACGTTTTGGAATAACTGAATATGAACAAATTCTAAGATATCAAGATTATTAGGCATCAATTAGTGAATGCCCAATAAACACTGTAACAAGTCATTAAACAGAACAAGTGGCTAAATAGCACCTCATCTTTGATATAACATCACGTCATTCCAGATCATTTCGTCGTCCCCCATTACCATTCATAGAGTACTTAATTACGAAGAAAAACCAAATGTCACCTTATCACAACGCGCCATCTAGCCTATAATAACCTACACAAATCAAAACAGACTCTGAATTATTAACCTTAATAGTCTCATTCACAGACTGTTGTAAGTGATCGTGTACTGGGTCGCTACAATATCATTGATGCGTCACTGAATGTAAAATAATGGCATACTTAGTCTGTAAGGCAGGATTTTTCACATATGCAATATCAGACGAACGAATATGGTAGATATGTCTAGCCATATCTTAAACATCCTTAGATTACCCACGAAACTTTTATTTGAAGAACCTATTAGCATTCAATTTCATTTCATTTTGACATTTCTTACCCATATAACTGATTCGCTTTAAATAACATACTGTGATTCATATGATCCATTCTACTCGGTACTTCGAACAGACAACAAAATAATACCGAAAAGACTTTTCTGAGGTCGTATAACAAAAAGAGTCAATGTATCAGAAGCGAAGTAGCTACAGAAAACGCTATGACTACGCTGACTGTCACTTAATGAGTTTGTTGTCCTTCATTTGGATGAAGTTTAGTGGATGATTCAGCGTCCCTTGTTTATTGGAAAAACATATTGTGCTGTTTTGTAACTTGTGCATATGTACTCCTTAATCAGAAAGAAAATCAATGGAAGCAACTCTTATTACTTAATCGAAACGCCTATTGAATAAAGATGGTGAGCAAAACGAGAACGTCAACTTTAGAAAAACAAAAACATTCACCAATAGGAGAAAATAAAAAGCATGTTACTTATATTAAATAAAAGGAATATGTAATCTTATTCTGCCTTTTCTATTATCATATTGAGTTATCTATTGACCGTTATTCGACTACCTTTAAATGTTGTAATTCCGGTGTTCACGATCGTTCAGAACTCTAAGAGTTGCTACAGAACATCTGGGTTTACTACTTCACATAAACTTACATATCTAAAAGATGATGAAACCTTGAGCATATCACTTCAAGCCGAAATAAGGCTCTAGACCTGTAACTCTTCGGTAAAAAATCGTCGAAAGTTTGTGTTTTTGGCTTCCGCTGTATACTTTTTGGTCACAGACTCAATCTTAGCTAATCATCCAACAATAACGTACGAAAGAATGGTTGAGCAAGTATATAAACATGTTTGTTGCGAGAAATTCGTCAAGATCGCACAAAGTTTCACAGCACATTCAGAGAAGTCATTATGCAAAGGGAGTGGATGAAGTTGATGCCAATGTCTCTCACATCGTTTACCTGAAGCAAATGCATAGAAGACAGTTGCAGTCTGTATGAAATATGGTAATTAATCCAGACACAGACAGACAAACGTAAGTCTACGGAGACGTTTATCCGAAGGAAAGAGACAACGTCTTCGGTATATAGCTTAGGTGGTCGATCAAGTGTCTTCAGGCTTGAAACTCACGTCAAAATTACAGTGGTAATCAATTAAGAAGAATATTTTATAGGCTAACTATTTAGGGGAGATTTTAAGCTCTACGTTCTGTAGGTTGAACATAGCTGTGATAGATGATGGTTTAATTCATAAAGCACCTACTTTTTTCTCTCAGATCCTGGTGTATGTTTCTTATTAAATTTTTCTAACCCACAGAACTGACCATATATTCACTTCTAACCTCCCCGAAGGGTTTGTATATTACCAATGTAGGTGACCTGTGTTGATTATTAGGGACCTAATAGAACTGAAAATGAATGACGTGACCAACTAGCTTACCCTGAGGTCACACTTCACGGTTAATATCTAACGTGTGTTACTTTCTCGTTGACAAACACTTCTGTGATAACATGATATGTCCAGCAGTACCTCGTTGCCCTTCCGTAATGCTTGAAACCATAAGTACAATATAACAACTAAAAACGTACAATAAAAATTTAGATTTTTATTGTATTTTTCTTTGGATTTGCATCCTTTCCAGCCTTTCTGAAGAATTAAATATGAAAAGTCTAAAGGCATGTCGAAACGCAATCTTACTTGTTAAAACACGGGGTTCAGCGAAGGGATCTCTTTTCAACGAATTTATTATCAAGCTGTACAGTCGTATATATATGAAAATGTTTTATTAAAGTACTAATTCCGTGAGGAAATGTGAACACTAATAACCAAGATTATAATAAGATGAATAGAATGAATAAAATGCTTTGGATTCAATAATTAAAGGTCATAGAGGTGTAAAATAAATAAGATGATCTCATGAGTATTCATGAATAAAATAATGAGATTATAAAATATAAGTAAAGGGGAAATGTAGTAATAATAATGATAAAAGAATGGTAATAATAATATTAAGGCCATGGTAACGATAATGATAAGACGTACTTCTTTTGTACTCATAGTTCTGGCTTGAGCTCATGGATGGTAAGAGCTTCGGCTATTTTTAAGAGTTTGATCCGAAGAAATCTGGGTAGATTTGAATGAACCATATAAACAACCTTAAAATCAGACTGTGGATCCGTAGAATGATTACAGTCGATTA